GGTGAATTTGACGTCGAAGACAAAGAACGTAGCGGAAGGCCGAAAGTGTACGAAGACGCGAAATTGGAATCATTATTGGATGAAGATTCGTGCCAAACGCAAGAAGCACTTGCACTTACATTAGGAGTGACTCAACCAGCAATTTCACATCGCTTAAAATCATTAGGAATGATTCAAAAGCAAGGAAATTGGATTCCATATGAACTGACGCCGAGAAACGTTGAACGCCGATTTTTCACATGTGAAATGCTGCTTGCCAGGCACAAACGAAAGCGTTTTTTGCATCGTATAGTCACTGGTGATGAAAAATGAATTCACTACGATAACCCAAAGAAGAAAAAATCATGGGGACCACCTGGCCATGCTTCAACATCAACAGCCAAGCCGAACATTCATGGAAAAAAGCTCATGTTGTGTATTTGGTGGAATCAGCTTGGTGTCGTATATTATGAGTTGCTCAAACCGAACGAAACCATTACTGGGGCTCTCTACCGAACACAATTGATGAGATTGAACCGAGTACTCAAGGAAAAACGCGCCCACTACTACTCCAGACACGACAAAGTTATTCTTCTGCATGATAATGCTCGTCCACATGTTGCGGCGCCGGTCAAAACCTATTTGGAAACACTCAATTAGGAAGTTTTATCCCACCCGCCATATTCACCAGACATTGCTCCTTCTGATTACTACTTGTTTCGATCGATGGCACATGGCCTGTCTGAGCAACACTTCACATCATATGAAGATACCAAAAATTGAATCGATTCGTGGATAGCTTCAAAAGATGAAGCGTTCTTCCGACGCGGTATCCGTATGCTGCCAGAAAGATGGGAAAAAGTAGTGGCTAGCGATGGACAATACTTCGAATAAAACATTATGTACCGTTCTTTCACAATAAATGCCCAATTTTTGATAAAAAACGGCGGAAACTTATTTATACTCCCAATATTTACTATGAAGACAATTTCGATTGCATTATGCCGACGTAATCATGGAAAGTTAGGGGAAAGTCAGGGAATTTTCCCCGTCCAAATTTGTAGACACTGGAAAATGTATTAATAGAATGAATTCTTTACAAATTTCCTTATATGTAAACCTTTTTTCCTCAAATGCAGAGAAAAAGAAACATAATTCAGGAAATATAATGTTATTTATAGATATTATTTTTTTTCATATGTTTATTTTGTTTTATGAGCTTCGTAACTCGCGCCGAACGAATTGCCGAATCTCTGATTGGTCGAGATTGGTCATTATGCGTACTGGTTCTCCTTTCTTGTTACATCATGGTTTTATGATTGTTTGCTGAGATAGCACTATTCCTCTTGATATAAAAGCATAACTCAGCATCAATCAGCGCGAAGGAAACTTCCAACAGTTAAATAAACTTATATTAACAGCAAAATAAACGTTCTGCTGAACGCAACCATTGCATTGTTGCATGATCATGAGACAGATTTCCTAAATAGTCGTCAACTTTAAGACCCATATTCAAAACGCTTACAATGATGTTAGCGTGCTAACATGTTATAATTTACGTTACGCATACTATAGAATTTTAGAGATAAAATCGCGTTCTGATGAATACAGGCCTAAGGCTTAATATCTCGATTCGCGGAGTAGAACAATACTTTTTTTCTATTAGATTTTTTCGTTTTACACAAAAACGTGTCAAATGAGTTTAATTTCAATATTGGATGCAGAAGCACGACCGCTCTCTCTAAAAGAGCTCTGTTTGGTCTATATTTTTAGATCTAATGGAATATGTCAATCAAATGCAAGAGCTCACTGAGCGCTCACTGAGCAATCGTGCTTCTGAATGTACCTATTGAAAAAGGAATAGAATTAAAGTAAACATTTACGAAAGCTTCTAAGGGTGAAATCACACGGTGCGGAATAGGATTGCGGAATAGAGAATGCGTCATTGAAACAACCACTTAGCGCATTTGATGTTGCGGAATAGCGAGTGCGTTATTGTTCTTGTAATAAACTGTCATATTTTGAGAGGTTAAAATAATTTGATGCTGATTGATATGACGGAATTGCGTAATGTCGAGACGAATGAAGCAAAATGACAAAATCTGAGTGCATAAATATAGATACCAAGATCAAAAAAACAATGATGTATTACATGCGATTTCAGTGTGCCCTTTTCCACACTTTTCCATCACGCCAGTTTTGTGTGCTATATTCACACGATGCGAAAAAAAGATAGTAAATGCGTTAAAGGAGTTCAGAAATTGCTATAAGATTATAAATATTAATTGTAAAATTAATATTTAACATTAAATACTACAACAATGATGATTGTTTTAATTTGAAAAATTATATTTCATTTTAATAAACAAATTATTAACATAAAGTTAGTAGTTTTTAAATTATATTCATACTGGATACATCTTTGACGCATCATGTGAACATAGCACACAAAACTTACATGATGGAAAAGTGCGGAATAGCGCTGATTGGTTATTTTAATTATGAAATTATTTTGATTATGAACGTATTCTCTATTCCGCAGTCCTATTCCGCACTGTGATTTCACCCCAAGTAAGCAATCAATCTCCGGTAAAATAGTCAAATGTTCAGTGCATGACCTTTGGGCTCTAATGAAATCGAATATTCAAAGAGGATAAAATAATACATCACGCATAGAATCACGCTCCAATACTTAGATGAATAAAAAAAGGTAATTATTTAGAATAGCTGTCTCACCTTCTATTTTAATGAAATTGAGCTTATTCGACTTATTTTCACTCAAAATGAAAGAATGTGGCAGAAAGAATGTGGCGGCGGTCTACCTCGCGAAATAAGTTATTAAGCGTTAGGCTGGATTCATACTGACGTCATATTGACGGAAAAACGGAAAGCGGAAAAGCAGAAGCCAATCAGAACTCGCGAAAAAACAGAAGCAGACAAGCGAAATGTACCGCCTACTACTGCGAGTCCCGATTGGCTTCTGCTTTTCAGCTTTTTAGTCAAGATGTGAACCCGGCCTTAAAGTTCGAGACTTCTGTCATACTGATCGAGGCAAAAGTTCACAATATCTCCGTCACCTCAAATTTTGATAAAAATAGATTCAATCGATGCGTTTATGTATGAAATGAACGAATCTAGCAGATAAAAAATGTCACTCTCCCCCATGAACTGAGATAGTAAGCGTTAAAGTTAATGACTATTGAGGTTAGAAAATCTGTCATAGCTATGAAATACTGCGATGCCAGTATGTGCTGCAGTCTCAAATTTGCTATTTTAAAATAAGTTCTCTGCTCAAAAACACAAATTCACTGCTTCAAAAACAAATTTACTGTTTTCAAAACACAAATAATATAAGAAAATAATTTATGTTTTATAAATAGTAAATTTGTCTTTTTAAAGCAATGAATTTGTTTTTAAAGTAATGACTTTGTTTTTAAAGTAGTAACTTTGTTTTTAAAATAGTAAATTTATTTGTAAAGCAAAGGATTTGTTTAAAAATTGTGAATTTGTGTTTTAGAGCAAAGAACTTGTTTTAAAGTAGCGAATTTGAGACCACCATTGATTGAAACGGTGAAAGGGAGACAATCTGAATATTAATAAATAAAGAAATTAAAATACATACGTGTGTGTGCGTGTGTATGTGTTTATATATATATATATATGTATATATGTGTGTATATATATATATATACATATATATATATACCTAAAGTTATTTTAAATTTATAAAATTAAAACAGTAAATTTAAAGGAAGTATTTAAGAATGAAAGTTCATTAAAGATTGAAAGTTCATTAGTGACACATATAATAACGTCTAATTCTGCTTATAAGCAATGTTTCACTTAAAATCGTATATTATTATATTGACTGTGTTTATTGTAAAAAATAGTTGCGTTTTAACCACTGGACTTATATATATATATATATATATATCACACTTTAGATTAACGGAGTGTTATCTATATATTCATTTCTCAATTCATATAACAAGAATATATTTTGTTACACAAGGATCAAGTAAATAACACAAAGAAGAAATATATTACACAAATTTCTAAATATGTATCCAATGGCCTGTTTACTTAATTATTGACGATTTAAATTAACAATACTGAGGATGACTTGATATGGAGGTCGAAATGTTTGCATTGTCAGAATAAACGTATATTGAATATTATTTCATTGGCTCATAGCCCTTTTTAAATACTTCCTTTAATTTAAAACAGTAAATTTGTTTTTAAAGCAGTGAATTTAGGTAATTCTTCAGAAGAGCTACTCACCTCCTATTTCGATGAAATTAGGCTCATTTGACACGTTTGCATAAAATGAAAGAATCTGGCAGAAAAAAGTTCGGGACTGCAAAGCAATATTGAGCGTTAAAGTTGATTAAAGTGTTACTATGTAACACGATCATTAATCTGTCATATGGACAGTGGAATGTATAGACTAGTACTTATTAGTTCGGAACGGCTACGCCACCCCAAACAAAAATAACATATTCTACCCGCTTGAGGCCTAATCGCCTAGGTTTTGCAGTCTAGACATGGAATATTGTGTCTGCATGGAATATTTCTAATCCTTGAAGACAGTGAAGTATGAGAATAGTCCTATTAGAGCGGTCTTTTTACTGTCTGCAACTTCTAGGCAGTTAGACTCCAAGCGGATAGGATAGTTTATTTTGTTTAGCAGCGTAGCCGCTCCAAATCAATAAGCATTACATCTATACACCTTACTGTCCATATGACAGTTTCCTAACCTTAATAGTTGTCAACTTTAACGCTCAATATCTCACTTCGCAGGACAGTCGCGGACTTATTTTCTGCCAGATTCTTTCATTTCACGCAAAAACGCGTCGAATGGATCTAATTTCATCGCACTGTGACCACAATATTTTGCGAAATTTAATATAAATGCAACACTAGCATTATTAGCTGCATATGTCAACAATGTAATTCTGCGAATCTACTTTAAAACACAAATTCACTGCGAAATCCCGTTTATGCAATTTCAATGTTCTTACTTTCGTTCTAATGTTGGGATTAATAACTTCCTCTACCATTGTATGTACTTTACTTTTTTAGTAACATGACATATCGGATAGAAGTGATGCACATTCACCGGATTCAGCCAAAGCCATAGAGAATGGACTGCGCGATTAGCGCGATCCGTGTGTCAAAATGGCCGACAAAAATGAAAAAGAGGGACCGTGGAGGATGACCAATCTCTATCTCTTTCTATTCAACGGCAAAATTTTGATTTTCTAAGTCCCGAACTTAAAAAAGTTTTGAGGAAAGGATGGTGTAAACTGTAAAACGAATGAAAAATTAGAATTGTATCAGTAATATAAGATTTTATTCAAAATATTTTTTTATTAATTTTTAAATATAATAGTTTTTGTATTTTTAGCTCTTATTCTAACCTCTTTCGGAAAGTCACAAGTACTTTCGTGATGTAGACGTACATCAAAAAACATATTTAAAATTTTCTTAGTGACAAATTTTTTATGATTTCTTGTTTAATATTTTCTTTATTTTTTAAAAATATATAAGGAAATTCTCTGTATAGTTTTCTGAATCAATAGTTTTTGACATTTTCTGTTTCATAAATTTGTATTTCTCTTAAAGTACGCCTTGCGATTAAACATATTTTAATTATATCCCCAGCAAACGAGAATGGATTGAAATGAATTGAAATGAATTCAGATTTTCAGAAGTATTGATTCGCGAATGTTAAAATGAATGCTTTTATCCTGAATGCATTTTTATTCATTTATAGGAATTGCATGGAGCATATCTTAAATTTTTTTGAAGTGTCTACTTTTCGCAACATGTGGTCGAGCGTTATTATGCAAAAAAAATGACTTCGCATCGATTGTTGACTATGGATGACTTTTTTTTCATCGACTCGTCACTTAATCGGCATAATTACTGTTGGTAGTGATCAGCTGGAGCGGTTTCATTTGGACGCAAAGGCTCGTATGCAGCATACCCCTCTGGTTTCACCAAATGCAGGGCAAGGGACGTTCTTTGTCTTTCACGTCAAAATCACGTTTCAAAAGCTTTTAATCAAACTCTACATGTTTTTTCCAATGGAGTTTCATCACTATACACTTCAGATAATAAACGATGTATTGCAATTGCGGTTTTCTTGAGATCGAAGTGAAAAAGCACATGTCGGAAAAACAGCTTATCGCAGTTCATTTTCAATCAATTGGAAAATCTCTTTGGTGTTGAGAATCAAAGTTTAACCTGTGAAGATTAAATCACTTTCAGCAATATTTAAACTACAAGACATGCAATTTCATCGTTGAAATTCACTAGCGTTGGATCCAATACCTTTTTATAATAAGCGGCAGGAATTAAGTTAACCGCCTAATAGTATCATAAAGCTTTATTTTTTCTTTCGTTATACTTTGAATTCTTTCTACACATTTCATTACAATCTCTCAATAACAATATATAACAATACTATATAAATACTAATAATCTATAAATACTACTATCAATTATCACTTTTTTAATATATTTTTATTTTTTTATTTTGTGTTGTTGCAAAAGTACATAAGAATATCATTATTTATATTATTATTCTTTTGCATTAAACATTACGATTTTGATATTATCATAGCAATTATAATATTTACATGCATCAATTTTTTTCTGTTTTACTAACTTTACATTTTATATCAGATTTACTTAAACTTAATCGCCGAATTTGCCGTTTTAAAGAAGAAATTTTTTTATTTTTGACAATCATCTTCTTTCTTATATATTGTAAAGGCAAATTATAATAGATTCTGTGGAAGTAGATCTTTTCAAAGGCCGATTCGCCAAACAAATTTGTTTGTTTGAAATTCCACCTTCAATGATTTTGCCAGAACTAAACATAAAAATTCGTATCAACAAGAATTATAAAAATATATACTATATTCTCATAATCAGCAATGAATAATAAAATGAATAAATATTATACCTTTTTATAGCAATGTTCTTAGTAATATATTCAGGCTCAACAGTTGAAGATTCAGTTCTTTCTTCCTATACAAATATATCTGTTACATATAAAAATATAACGAAGCATAAAAGAATATAAAATCTTTTTTCACCATGTTATTATTTCATTCAATAAATTATTACCTGATGTTGGAAGATATATGATGAAGGCTGTCTTTTTTTTTAATAACGTCCTTCCATCGACATCATAGTGAAAGCAGTTTTCTTTAAAATGAACAAATTGTAGCTCAAGCTCCCAAAACTACATTATTAATTCTTATATATGTTCCCATTTTTTCTCTGATTTTCATCGGAAAGAAACCTATAATATTTATTTCATTATTTATTTTATGTTTTCATAAGATAATTATGACTATTTAATCTTTTCACAAATCTAGCTTAATCTCTTTATATTATGTATCTATAAAATGAGGTAAAGTACGGTCCCTCCTAGAATCTTAATAAAAATGTATTCAACGCGTTTTCATTCAAAATAAAAAAATCTGGCAAAAAAACGCGGCGAATCGAATTATTAAAGTTTTTTTAGATTTTAGAAGTTAACATATCTGTCATCTCAATTCGATTATCTGTCATCCCGGTTCTACATTAGTTGCAAGCTGATCGTAAGTTTGTTGCGATAGCCAATCTAAAGCTTGCATTTTGAAATCAATGCTTCATATTGGCTATCGTAACAAAGATCGGCTTTCGATCAGCTTGCAATTAATGTAGAATCGGCTTAATGTATTTATTATTTTGTCCTTTTTTATTATTTGGTGAATAATAAGGACAAATGATATATCATGCGCTACATGTAGCATGTTATATTATATTATATGAACCAAATATCGATTTATCATTTCAGCCTTAAAAACTGGACGATGTACCTTAAGAAAAATGGACGTTGCTGTGTAGTTTACCTCCATTTTGTCAGAGGACAGTAATGCGTAACAGCATGTGGGGAATTCTTAATGCCTCACTAGCGCAGCGAGCGTAGTAAGCTTAAAGATTGTGTTGGTAACGAGTTGCCTAGCAGCGTAAAAAAATAATAAAAAAAGAAATATTATATTAACAGATCAATAGAGGTGTTCGTCCTGTACGGTCATATAAAATTGTGCTCGTGAAATAAATATTATATTTATAGTTACAAATTAAGTCTCGATTATTATTTTCTTTATCACATCACACGACAAGCGTGGGCTTGTCAAGAGAACTCTGACTTATCCATTGAGTCACATATTCCCACATTGGTAACCCTGACGCGATTATGTCTCTGGACGCAGAAGCTATCGCGTGCTGCAGAGATCTCATCGCAGAACCCGATATTAATGAACCATACACCAAATTAAAACAGCGTATCATTGATTTTCAGCGTCAGCAGAAAGTCAACTGCGACAATTAATAAAAGGCCAAGTGCTTACGTCAGAGAAACCGTCGCAGATTCTCAGTCGACTTCGTAACTTAAACTCTGACAAACGATGTGACAACGCCGTAATAAAAACTATGTTCTTTGAACATTTATCATCGCACATTAGAAGCATTCTTGCGACTACCGAAAGTACGGATCTGGATAAATTAGCCAAAATGGCGGATAAAATAGTTGAGACCGTGGGTGATTCTGCGCAGTGTGCCGCCGTATCGTCGTCAGAGTCTAAACCATCCGACTTAGAAGCTAGGATCGACGGTCTGGCCGCAGATATTGCTACCCTCGCTGCTGAGGGCAAGTGATACAGCAGATCTCAGACGAGAGACAAGGCAAATAAAAATCGTAAGCATTCCAAAAGCAGAAACTCTCGTGTCTGCTGGCCGCATCGTACTTTTGGGAAACAAGCGCGAGTCTGTAAGGGAAACTGAAAAATTCCCGTGCCCTTGGCCAAAGCCCAATATTTTAACGGACGAAAAGGCGGGGGAATAGAATCGCCTGCCACCGAGGAGACAGGTATGGCAGGCGTCGATTCTTCTGTCCGTCTCCACATCCGCGATCGAATCACCGGAGAGTTATTCCTTGTAGATACGGGGGCGGAAATTTCGTTGCTTCCCAGCACTTACGCGAAGAACAAAACTCCGACCAATTTCAAACTTTACGCGGCAAACAATACGTGTATAGGAAGATACATATGGGGAGTCGTTCCGAACGCTACATTTAGGGATACGCCCGATCACATGGAATTTCTGCGTAGCATCAGTTCCGTACC